GGGCACTGCAGAGTGGGGGTGCTCCAGGCAGGGTCTCTATGGTTAGGGTGCGGGAGTGGCACTGTGTAAGGGGACTCTTGTCCCCTTACTAAAACTCAGTGGGGTTTTTGGTCGTTGGCTCCCAGTAGCAAAGGAAAGGGGAAGGATCGATGGGAAATCAGGAGCCTGAGACTGACAGTCCCCAGGAACAATGGGGAGAGGCCAATGCTCCAGGTCAGCCTGATTGACAGGGTGGCAGGCTCATCAGAGAGTCAGGAGGCCAGGGGGGTCCCGTCCTCCGTGTGAGCTGGAATTGCCTGGGTCAGACAGAGTGGGGCTGAGCTAAGGAGAGAGCAGGGGCCCGGGCTGAGCTGGGGAGCAGACCCAGGCCTAGGCCAGGCTTTTAGGGTTTCTTATGCCTCCCCACCATGCCCTTTGCCCCTCCTAACTGGTTGCTTGACCTTGGCTTGAGAAAGGAGCCAGGCAGCCTCCCAGTGTATGCTCAGGTTACTCTCCCACCATGCCCTGTAACACATTAGCTCTATCCTTTATCTCTTCCCATTACACTAACAAACCCAGCTGCCCAGGCAGAAGCAAGACACATGGTGTCTTTGTTCTTTGTTCACACATATCAGACATAAGTGTATCAAAAAGTCAAACCCCAAATTCTCTCTCAGGCTGACAAACCAGCTATATACTAACAAGTGACCCAACTGGGTCATGCTTAACTGTGCCTTAATGAAAATACAATTTGACACGAGACGTCTTAAATGTTAAGAAAATTTGCCCTCTAAACACTGTCCTTTCTAGGGCATACTCAGATACTAAGGAAGTTAGGAATTGTTAAAAAAAAAAAAAAAAGTCCCAGGGGTCCATAGAATAATTGAAGAAAGAAACATTTTGTATTTGCTGATGGAGACGCCGAGGTACGGACAATAATGTCCTCTGGTTTCCATCAGGAGCGACTGAAACGTCTCAGGGCAGCACCGACGGTGACACTGGAAATAAAACTGCCCGGCTTTGTGGGGGAGATTCCTGGAGCTCAGCACTCACCAGGTCCCTTCTCTGGGCCAAGACTGCCCAGGACCTGCCCTCCCCTGGCTCCCATCCCACCAGCGGGGGGCCGAGGAGCTATTTCCCCACAGGAAGGGCTTTGAGTGCCCGCTGGTGCCGGGGCTGCGAGCGCTGCTGCTGGGTGCGGGGGCTGGCGGGGGGGGGGGGGGGGGGGGGGGGGCGCTAATGTAGGGCTACCATACGTCCGGATTTCCCTGGACATGTCCGGCTTTTCGCTCTTTAAATAGCCGTCCGGGGGGGATTTCTAAAAATCAAAAAATGTCCGAGATTTCCACCCGGTTGGCTATTTATCGACCGAAAAGCGTCTGACAGGGCGGTGCACTGGGGCCTCGGCAGCCAAAGCCCCTTTCCGGCTCCCCCCATCCCCTGCAGCCTTAGCACGCCGCCCGGCAGCGCTCGGGCCGGGCGGGGCGCTCCTTGAGGCGCACAGCCAGACACCTGCTCTAAGCTGAGTGGCACGGTAAGGGGCCTGGGGAGTTGGAGAAGGGGGGCAGTCAGGGGACAGGGAGTGGGGTGGGGTTGGATGGGTCTTGAGTTCGGGGGGGGGCTGTCAGGGTGGCAGGGGTGTGGAGAGGGGTTGGGACAGTCAGGGAGCAGAGGGGGTTGGATGGGTCGGGAATTCTGGGGGTCCTGTCAGGGGGCGGGGAGCAGTTGGATAGCGCATGGGAGTCCCAGGGGTCTGTCTGGGGGCAGGGGTGTGAATATGGGGTGGGGGTGTGGATAAGGGTCAGGGGACAGGTAGGGTCCGAGGGGGGCAGTTAGGGTGTTGGGTTCTCAGGAGGGGGCAGTCAGGGGACAAGAAGCAGGGAGGGGGGTTGGGGGTTCTGAGGGGGGCAGTGGGAGGGAGTGGATGGGGCGGGGCTAGAACTGGGGCGGGGCTAGAGTGGGGCTCCCCCCCCCCCGCCGTGTCCTCTTTTTTGATTGTGGAAATATGGTAACCCTAGGCTAATGAGCTCCCAGGCTCTCAGCCGCCCAGCTGGAGGGGGCATGTGGGGATCTCGTTATACCAGCTCTGCTCAGGGTGGGGGCGGACAGAGCCATGCAGACAGCTCTCAGCCACACAGGACATAGATGGGGAATTTACATTTCCCACAGCCCGGGGCGGGACAGGCGGGGGCGGGGACAGCCCTGTGCCAGCAGCAACTTCTCAGACCCCACCCAAGGCCTTCAGCAAGAGCACGGAGCAGCAGTTCCTCTTCCTGTTTGCACTCCATTGCGATAGGAACCTGGGGTGGGGGAGGGGCAGGTGTCCACCCCCACTCTCTATAAATAGTGCCTCTGCCAAACGGGCATGTCTACATGGCTATTCTTAGCCTTGCAGAGTACGTCCAAGTCAATTGATCCGGGCACTAAGACCAGTGTAATTTCTCCCTTCCCTCTGGACAGGGAAGATAAAACTGTTGCTTTCTCCCGTAGGCTGCAGCTCTTTAGCAGAGCGATAGTGGTCAAAGTGCCATGGCTGAGTGTCGAGTACCTTCCTGGCGTGTACCTGCTGTGTGCACTGTCGGCAGAGGTGGATCCGGCTTTCTACGACAGGGTGATACAATTTCATGCATCACCCAGAATTCAGAAGGTCCAGAGACAGCTCCCCAAACCATCATACCAACCCTCCCCCAGAACACCAGGGGAGCAGGGAAAGAACTGTGACTCCCTTGCCAGTGGGACTCCTAGTAAATCGTAGGCACCTGATTTTGCTGGCAGAGGGACACAAAAATAGGACATGGGCCAAATTCTCAGGTGGCGTAAATTGGAGTTACACGAGTAGAGAGTTTGGCCCCATGTCTGCTTTGCCTCCTATAATGACACTTTTATCTTGTGCAAAATGGGCAAAGAAGTCTTTGAGAGAGCCGGCTGCAAAGCACGCACCCTGTGACAGTGGAATTCCTCGGTTAACGTTCGCTGCAGGCGGGGGAAACGAAACTTGTCAGGGTCCCAGCTGGATATAAGGAAAACGTCTGTTTCTCCTCCCAGGTGTGACATACACTCCTCTCTGATCGTCTGCAGGGCGCTCTCCTCACGGCCGTTTTTTCTCCTTGCAGACGCCTCATCCAAGTCCACTTTGGAACGGACAAAGTAAAACGTCTTCCCCAGCGTTCGAATCTCCTCCACAAGTCTGGCGTTGGTGTTTGTGAAGCGCCCACAGGAGATGACAATGACCAAGTCGCACTGTCTGAAGTGATGCTGCTCAAGGAAAGTGTCTGAGGGACAATTCATTGTCCCGATCCCTGGCAGGTCCCATAGCGTCACGTTGTGGTGTTCGGGATGTGGCTAAGCCTTGGGCTCCACCATCATTTCTCCTGCCAACCCAGTCTCAGCAGCTCCTGTATCGTGTTCTTTCAGACCCCGGGTGGCATTGACAAAAGACAACTTTCCAGATCCTGTCTCCCCGACTACGGCAACTTTGAGACTTTCATTCTTGACTGCCTCACTGACCTCTTCAAGGTGGTAGCAGGAGTGTGTTTGGCTTTTCTGATTCATTGGCTGTAAACCGGTTTGAGAGGCTGGTCTCCGCCCTCCTGCTGTTTCCGTTGGGACCAAAACTGAAAACTCTTTAATTTGCGCAGCAGGAAACGACGGTGCTTGTTAATGATAATAAACGCTATAATTAATAACGGAACTGAAAACACGGCATAGTACACATCTAGTGATGGCCGGTTACTCACAAAGCCTGTAAAAGACAAACAGAAAACAAAATAAAAACTCTCATGGAAGCTATTGGCACATTCTCAGCCCTTCCCTTCCCAGCCCTTGTGCAGCCTAACATCTGCTTCGTTTTTCCCCTGCCGCTGCACATTAAGCAGCAGCTTTCGTTGAGGTATCCGCAAGGCCTCTTCCTTGTGTGGCTATGGTGGGGGTCAGAAGCCAGCAATGCACGGATGGCTCATACTGACCCTAGGGGGAAGCAGGGACAGCCTGCACCAGATCTATCGAGGTAGAACCTGCCAAGCCTGGGAAAAGGTTACGGTCACATCGAGGTAGCTAATCTCAAGCGTTTTTCTCAAGTGTAGGAAAACCCCTCGGGGCTTGTACTATACGCTGTCCCGTACCTTCCACTGTAACTTGCATCTGCGCAGAAAACCGTCCCAGTTCCGGCTTGACATGGCAGATGTAGAATCCCTCATCCTGGCTGCGAACTCTCCGTAACGTCAGGGACGCATTTCCTTGCGGGAATCTCTCCGGGTGGAGCTGTGTTCTGCCCTTGTAAGCGACATCTTGTCTCTGCAACTTGTCCATCCCGTTATAATAGCTGTGAACCAGGAGATCCGGCCCCTCGGCTTCTTCCTTCTTCCAGGTGATGTTCAACGGCTGGACGTTTAATCCAAATTCAAAGGGGCAGCTCAGGGTGACGTCCTGCCCCAGCTGAGCTACAATGGGAGACTCCATTTCACTCTCCCCTGAACGAGAAACAAGGCTCAGAATTATTTACCCCAGCTCCAGAGGCAACTTTTTGTCACATTCCCCCTTTTACACATACAAACATGACACACTCGTAACATGCACACAACACGACAGACACCCAGCACACCCACAACGCACACAACCTTCACAACACTCCCAACCCACCACACTTACGTGACACACATGCACAACACACAATGCTCACACAGCACACACACAACAACACACACAGACCTTCCAAGTTACCGAGAAGACTATATTACTTCGCAAAATTCACATCCACAGAAAGGCCTAGAACAGGGGTAGGCAACCTATGGCACGTGTGCCAAAGGCGACACGTGAGCTGATTGTCAGTGGCACTCACACTGCCCGGGTCCTGGCCCCCGGTCCAGGGGGCTCTGCATTTTAATTGATTTTTAAATGAAGCTTCTTAAACATTTTAAAAACCTTATTTACTTTACATACAACAATAGTTTAGTTATATATTATAGACTTATAGAAAGAGACCGTCTAAAAACGTTAAAACGTATCACTGGCATGAGAAACCTGAAATTAGAGTGAATAAATGAAGACTTAGCACAGCACTTCTGAAAGGTTGCCAACCCCCAGCCTAGACCATCACCAGCCCTCTACTGGGGCTGTCAGTGGGATTGAACCCATGACCCTTAGAACTAAAGGCACATGCATCTATCATATGAGCTAAAGGAACAATTCCAACAGCTGTTACCACTCTTAGGCTATTATCTCTTTAGGTGATACAGCTGCTAGCAGAGGACAAAGGCAAGCACTGTGCTTGTGTGGGCTAAACCTATGTGGAAAAACATAAGGCTACGTAGTGGCTGAAAGTCAAGGCAAAGCGCTGCTGGCGCAGCCGTGGCCTGTGTCTGCACTGGGGGATTGTGGCGCTTTAACCAGACCTGGCTCTGCTGGGCGATCACATTGTACACAGTGAGTGACTGTGTCTCAGATGCTCAGACAGGGACACAGGCAGAGGAAACCTACTGAGCACGGCCAGGGAAATCGTGTGGGACGAGGTTCCCAGCTCAGAGGTGACGTAGCAGAGGTAGGAGCCCTC